GACAGAGAGGAGGGAGGGAGAGGAAGAGATAGAGAGAGAGGAAGGAGAGGAAGAGGAGAGAGAGAGAGAGGGAGTGAGAAAAAGAGTGAAGTCAGAGAAAGGGGAGAAGAAAAAGGAGAGAAAGAAAGAAGGACAGGTGAAGAGAAGCGGGGAGCAAAGATAGCAGTAGTAGACACGAATAGAGAGAGAGATATTTAGACAAAGAAAAAAAAAAAGGCACAACATAATTCACGATTCAGTGGCCCTGCTGAGCTGCAGTTTAAAGGACACAGCGACAAATCAGTAAAAGATCACCGGGAAAAAATGGCATTAAAAGGATTTCTTTAAGATCCTTCAAGAATCCTTTATAAAAAAAAAATCATGTGGTTAGAGTTTACCAAATAAGTTTATTCATGTGAGTGTGCGTGTGTTTGGTTTCATATATATATATATATATATATATATATATATAATATATATTATATATATATATATATATATATATATATATATATATATATATATATATATATATATATATATATATATATATATTAGAAATCAACTCTTCTCTGCAAATATTTGAACATTCCTGAAAAAAAAATGTATAAGTGATATAGAGGCTTGACTGTGAATTCCGCGGACAGCATTTGCAAGCTGTGTGCCAACATAATTATGTGCGGGTGGTAGTTATGGTTGATGTTTTATTCATTTGCACATTATAATTCAAATCTTTAGTATTTTGAATGTATACAATGGTTTAACAATACAGCGCATTTATCTGTGCCGCAACTGACGTCCATCAGGGTGTTGCAGCGTGTTCAGATCGAATAGATTGTGGAGGTGCTTCACGTGAACAAAAGCGCTATTATTGTCATGTGTGATTTTATGGATATGCGTAAATGTCGAAGTGGTGTTTAAGCGGTCATGGAGATCGCGGAAAATCTCGAGGATTTTGTTTAAAAAGTGCATAGAGTGATCTGCTGTTATTGTGCGTCCCACGGTGGTCAGATAATCTTTATTGGTGCTCCAGGGTATGTGAAGGCTGTAGATTTTATCTTACTGCTGCTTCTGGAGTAACAGCTGCTACTCGACGAACTGCTGCTGCTTGAGGGAATACTACTACTTGAAGAACTACAACTGCTTGAGGAGCTGCTGCTACTGGAGGGACTGCTACTGCCTGAAGAACTACAACTACTCGAGGAGCTGCTACTACTGGAGGAACCCGATGAACCTAAAATAATTGGCACATTCCTCTTTCAATAAGAAAACTAGAACAATTATTTTTACATAGAAACTGTAACAAATACTATTGAGCAAGTGTGTGCGGTATTTTACAGCAGAGAATTACTAAATCGTAACTGACATTTCTGTTTCAGTGCAGGCCTAAGCCTTAGAGTTTTACACAGGAAATGTATACAATTCTCTCTCTCTCTCTCTCTCTCTCTCTCTCTCTCTCTCTCTCTCTCTCTCTCTCTCTCTCTCTCTCTCTCTCTCTCTCTCTCTCTCTCTCTCTCATAAAAAAAATAGTATCATGCGTGACTTCTGCTGCCTATAAGTTTTGATCTACATTTACGTTAATCGAAAAAAAGTGTGTAGGTATCGCCTCCTGTATCTTTCTGTACAAGTGATTTTTTCTCAGTACTCAGCTGTTTGAAAGACCGAACAAAGTCAACTGCACGTAATGATCTAATATTATAACTATTTCGTGCATGGACTGAAATCCTTCAAGGTGCTTCAGCGTGCTTCAGGAAACATAATACATTGTCTTACTGCTGCTGCTTGAGGAGTTAGTGCGGCTGCTGCTTCTGCTTGAGAAGCTGCTACCTCTTGAGGAGCAGCTACCACCTGAGGAGCTACTTCTGCTTGAGGAGCTACTACTACTTGAGAAACTGCTACTGCTTGAGGACCTAATATTGCTTGAGGAACTGGTACTTCTTGAAGAACCACTAGTGCTTAAGGAACCGCTACTACTTGAGGAGCTACTACTTGTTGGGGAACTGCTACTGCACAAGAAAATGCTCCTGTTCGAGGACGTACTAATGCTTGAGGAAATGCTACTCTTTGAGGAGCTACCACTCTTTGAGGAACTGCTCATACTTGAGGAACTGCTAAAGCTTGAGAAACTGCTACTGCTTGAAAAGCTGCTAATACTTGAGGCTTTGAGGAGCTGTTACTTGAGGAACTAGCTGCTTGAGACTGCTATTGAGGAACTGCTGCTTGAGGAACTGGCTGCTTGAGGAACTGCTGCTGCTTGAGGAACTGCTAATACTTGAGGAACTGCTGCTGCTTGAGAAAACTGCTAACTTACTTGAGGAACTGCTTACTGCTGCTTGAGGAACTGCTTATGCTTGAGGAACTGCTTATTAACTGCTACTGCTTGAGGAACTGCTACTGCTTGATGAAACTGCTGCTGCTTAAGAGCTGCTGCTTGAGAAAAACAACTAACTGAGGAACTGCTACTGCTTGAAGAACAACTGCTACTTGACGAACTGCTACTGCTTGAAGAGCTGCTAATACTTGAGGACCTGCTACTGCTTGAAGAGCTGCTAATACTTGAGGACCTGCTACTCCTTGAACTTGATGACCCTAAAACAATCAGCACATTTGTCTTTCAGTAAAAACCTTTTACACTGAAAACGAGAGTGCTTGCCGACATGGTATGCTCTACTTTTTTTTTTATCATACAATATAAACGAGAAGAAATATGGACACTTTATCTTCATGTATATGTGTACAAAATACTTGGTCATCAGGTACCTTGCAAATGATGCAGGATAACTAAGGGCTAAAGTGTATGTGCTTTAATTAGCATACAGGTACTGTGGGGGAAGGTAGGGTGAGAGTAGGTGAGGGTGTCCGAATAGAATGCATTTCCCTATAATGGTATAGGATGTAGTAATTCTGGTTATGTTAGTATTGATGCTCAAGGATGTATAGGAATGTGTGTGTGTGTGTGTGTGCACATATATATATACATATTTATGTGTGTTTTTGTGCGTATGTGTGCATACACGCAATATATGTGGATGTGGTTGTGTATGTGTGCGTGTGTGTGTGTGTGTGTGTGTGTGTGTGTGTGTGTGTATGTGTGTGTGTCTGTAAATGCATGTTTATATCTGTGTATTATTATGTGTATATGAATATGTATATACTTTGGCTCCCAGAAAGATCAGCAATGTATTGTGCTATCTCCGTGCTTTAACTGAGATCCTTTTGCGTGCTCTAGCGGGAAAAAAGTACATACTACTACAGCTGCTCGAGGAACTACTACTGCTGCTACTTGAGGAGCCGCTCCTGCTCGAGGAACTACTACTGCTGCTACTTGAGGAGCCGCTCCTGCTCGAGGAACTACTACTACTTGAGGAGCTACTGCTGCCAGAGGAACTGCTACTGCTTGAGGAGCTACTGCTGCCAGAGGAACTGCTGCTGCTTGAGCTCGAAGACCCTAAAACGATTGGCACATTTCTTTTTCACTTTAGTACTTTAGTCACACACGGAATATATACAAATACTGTGGTATTGCATAGTTATACGGAAATGCTTCATAAACACACATATATCTGTGTGTGCACGCCCATCCCTTATCTTTAGAAACATTCCGACAACATTCATAAAAAAAAAAAAAAAAAAAAAAAAAAACGTGAAAAGGTGCTTGATTCATTGCACACAATTTATGGGCACGCACTCGGAAGCAACGAAATTATTTGTCAATTTTATAGACCGTTTGGACTAGTGTTTTGTGAATATGATCATCCAGAGCTATAGTGCTTCTCTTATATTAAAGCGTGTCTGAGTTGGAAACTATCTTACTACTACTGCTGCTGGAGCTACTACTGCTGCTGCTTGAGAAGCTGCTACTGCTGGAACTCGATGAACCTAAAAGAATTAACGTTTCTCTTTCACTCACAAGATGGATAAAGAAGCCTTAGAGTTTTGCAAAGAAAATGTATAAAGATGTAAATTCCTAATCTGCAGTTGACAAAACACAAACACACACCCCTATATATATATATATATATATATATATATATTATATATATTATATATATATATATATATATATAACCATGCGTTTGCGTGACTAGTTTCAAGATAACTTCTGTATATTACTTTATAATAATACTTTCTACCAAATCATTCCTCGTTAGACTTGACTTCAAGCTGAACTATATTTCAAAACTTTGTAATACTATCCCTAAAAAAATGTTCTGCATCAGAGAAGGTGCGACTGTGCCTGGTGTATTAATGATATATATAGTAATACGTGAAACCCTATTTTTTTCTTTTTCTTCCTTTTTAGTGCTTCACCGTGTCTGAACAGAATACATTATCTTATTACAACAGCTGCTTGAAGAACTACTGCTACTGCTTGAGGAACTGCTACTGCTTGAGGAACTGCTACTGCTTGAGGAACTGCTACTGCTTGAGGAACTGCTACTGCTTGCGGAACAACTGCTACTGCTCGAGGAACTGCTACTGCTTGAGGAACTGCTTGAAAAACTACTACTGCTTGCGGAACAACTGCTACTGTTTGAGGAGCTGCTACTGCTTGAGGAACAACTGCTACTGCTTGAGGAACAACTGCTACTGCTTGAGGAACAACTGCTACTGCTTGAGGAACAACTGCTACTGCTTGAGGAAGCTT